AAGTATTAAGGGGGGGTGTAGGTTTTGAGCCCATTAAGGAATAATCTAATAATATTAGGTTATTTTATTATTTGTTGTTAGAATAGAAGGAAGAAACAGTAGAAGAGAAATAGGGATTTGAGAAGAACGTGAAGCTGCTGGTTTTTGAAGGAAACGACAAGAACAAAGATTCAACTCGGAAATTGTAGAGCAACCTTCGATCCAAGGTAAGGGTGGGGTTCTGGCTTTATAATGGGGTTAATGATATTTGATATGTGGGATTAGAGGATTGTTGTTTTGTTATTGAATTGAATGATGTATGATGATGATTGATGATTTCTCGATGGATAAATGATGATATGATGTTGTGTAAACGATGTAGTATTAAAGGTTAATGATTAGGTGATGAATTATCATGGTTAGGATGAGGTTTGTAGGACTGTAATTATGATTCCCGTAGTAAAAATACAGTAGAAACGCAGAAATTTTGCAGAAAATCGCAGGATGCGTCGACCTCAAACTGGATGAGTTGATGCAAGGAGGGTGTTTGACTCAGGATGAGTCGATGCATGGAGGTTTGCGTCGATGCATGATGAGTGCAAGACTCAGGATGAGTCGACCGGTACGATGCATGTGTCGATACATGCTGGGATTTTGAGGCAGGATGAGTCGATCCATAAGGAGGATGCGTCGACTCATAGTATGAATACGAAGCAGGATGTGTCGATGCATAGTGTTTTATGTCGATGCATATTGAATGATTTTGACATAATCAGTTTTAAGTTGCCGTAACTTGAGTTTTAGGATGCTGTTTGAGATGCCGTTCGAAGCGTTGGTTAGCTAACGCGACGAACTTTATTTTAGATGATTAAAATGATGATTAAGATGTGTAATTCCAGTAACTAATTTAGGACTTAGGATTAATTTTCGTAGATGACCGTTGTGCTGTTTTTAGGACAGAATAATGAATTTTGAGATGTTAGAGGTTGCTGTTAGAAATATGACAGTAGGACTTAGTGATAATAATGATGTACAGTAGCAGAATAATAGTACGGATTACTGTATTATTGATATACAGTTGAGTTATGAGTAAGATGTGGTTAATCAAATGATGTTTGATAAGTAAGTAATGTTTACTAAATTATTTTGAGATGTTTATGAGATGTTGTTGTTCTGAGATGTTTATGAGATGTTGTTGTTTGAGATGACTGAAATGTTGTCGTTTTGATGATTGAGATGTTGTTATTTGAGATGACTGAAATGTTGTCGTTTTGAGATGATTGATATGTTGTTGTTTGAGATGTGTTATGAGATGTTGTTGATTGAGTGTTGACATTACATTCATGATGAGTCGCATACATTGCATTTTTTTTAGATGGCCTGGATTGGAAATTTTTTGAGATGGGAGTTCTGCTCCAAAGGTTATGCCTTATTTGATGCCTCTATTAATTGGCAGATTAGATTTTTGAGATGGGAGTTCTGCTCCAATGGTACCACATGCATTTGCATAGTTTTGAGTCGCATCATATGAATGAATAATGAGATGTATTTGATGTTGATGAATGAATATATATGCTGTAATTATTGTTGATTATGAGATGAGAAGTGGTGATATGAATGATCTAATTTAATATATTGATTATCATGCGCTTTATTATATTGTTAGATATCTCACCCCTTCTGTTTGAATGTTGCCCTATATTGGTAACGTGCAGGTAATCGAGAGTGAAGGTCGTATACCTTCAATAGATCGAGTCGGTGTCATTGCTCTGATATGTAACACTCGGGGGGATGAACGCTTACTGATTTTCGATTACTGATTTTTAGTTGCTGAATTTTGAATTGATTATTATTAAATATGAGATGTTTCGAAGTTGTTATTTTATTTAAAGTTATTATTGAAGAATTCTGCTGCGTAGTTATTGAATATTTAATGAAAGATGTTATGTTGTTAGTTCATCCGATGTTTTGAATAAGTGTTATATATCCATGATGAATACAATGAATTTGTTAGAAGAATTTGTGACGTCCTGATTCATTCGTATGATTGAAATTTTATAACTCTGATTTATTTTTCATAAATTGCTTGGGGTAGAATTGGGGTATTACAAAACCTATGAATGCTCTTCTAAGAAAGAAAAATAAAAAATTACTTTGTTTTCATTACCCATATAAATTGACACTTCCTTGGTACTTTGGCTACATTACAACCATAAAAATACCTTAGTGATCTTTGTTTTTACTTATCAACATACTTTGCTTAGATGAATGCATGAATTAATCTAGATGTTAGCAAGATTTGTCATGTGAGAGATCAATTACTTCATTGTTTTCACTTATACAAAACATATGATAGGTGTGATTCATGATAAACATATTTATTGCTTTTGATTGCTTGACATGAATTTTATGTGGAGGACTCTTTTCATAAGTATGTCTAAATGCTAGGAAAGTAATAAAGCATGTCACACTTGGTTGTGAGATTCATCATTAAAACCATGTACTTTGATGACTTCTTTGAAAACTCGGGTTGATCATGTGAAGAATGGTACATAAACTCTTGCTTTTAAGTTGCTTTGATTGAGGACAAACAAAGATTTAAGTTGGGGAAAATTTTATAAGTGTTTCATTCATGATAAAATATTACATTATAACATAGCATTTATCTAACATTCATGACAAGTTTCTTACCTAAAAGCTCCAATTATTGAATAAAAGTGGTTTGTACAAGTTTACTTGGGTTTGGTTTGCATTTGTGTAGGTTATGTCCCATAAAACAAAAACCAGAAAACAGATACTTCGCTAAGCAAAAGTTGCAGCGAAAGTTCGCTTAGCGAACATCCAGCGAAGTGGAGATAGAAGAAAATTAGCCAGTTTCGCCAGTGGCGAGTAGCAGTGAAGCAAGTTCGCTTAGCGACTCAGGTCTTCGCGTAGCAAACTGTGGTGGTCTCTGAAGATATTTTGAAAGAACTTAAGGTTGAAGAAAGGAACTTCGCTAAGCGAGCGACACTTCGCTTAGCGAACTTTATCGATTTCCTGAAGACAAGTTGATTTGAAAACTTAATGAAGAAGCAAACAGATACTTCGCTTAGCAAAGTATAGTTTGCTTAGCAAACTCAAGCGGCCATAACTGCTATAAAAAGGACAGAACTCAGCTCAGTTCAAATCATCCAGTTTTCTATCATTAGAATACCATATATTATCATGTGTAATAGCAGTAGAATAGGAATATAAGAGGTTGTAAAGAGAAGGAGTTGGATATGCGTCAGGAGTCGGGAAATCGTCATTGATCTTGTTCAACTCAATTCTTTCATTGTGCTTGAAACTACCATGAGTAGCTAAATCCCTCTCTTGTTGGGATTGGTCGTAGTTCACCAAAATAATATGCATTTTCATTAAATGATGGCGTTATAAGCAATTTATGTATGAATCGTTATTGATGTTATCTTTGTTTTACTGTTTATTTCACGGATTGAATTCATATTGACAAATACGATTCTAATCTCGATCTAAGATAACATCTATTAAACTCTAAATGCTAGACATATATTTAGGTTTAATATTTATCGAAAGTATCGAATCTTAACGGTACCGTATTATTTAATAGGCTGGGAAATCGTCGATTAAACCATAAGGTAGAAATCTCATCAAGGTTTAGACATAAATCTTGTTTGTGAGCGATACGTAATGATATCGAAACATGCTTAAATTGTGTATAACTGATTTGTGATGTGCATATTGAATCGGTGGATGAACACCAATTTCCCAACAAGTCTATTCCTCTGAAACTTATCGTTATTTATTGTTTGCGTTTACTTTTCGTAACTTATAAATCAAACAATCTTGAAACTTTTGCTTAGAATTATAGAGAATATTGAACGGTTTTTATATCTCCTCAATTTTCGCAGATACGATAAACACAATACTTTCATTTGATTATACTCAACATCAATCATTAACTGTTAAACATATAGAATTAGATGATTTTCCAAAAACCTCTAACAAAAGCTCCATAGACTTAGCATCTCCTCTAGAGAAAAGCAAACAATCATCCTCAAAGGTGAGTTTCACAATTTTCAGCTTTTCACACTTAGAGTAAAAATTAAAATTAAGATTATTTTTCAATCTATGGAAAAATCTATGCAAATATTCCATAACAATAATAAACAAAAGGTGTGACAAGGGATCATTTTGTCTCAACCTCTCTTAACAATGTGAATGCTAGAGATGCTATTATTGACATTATATATGTAGGAGACAGTAGAGATGGTTATCATAACCCACTTAATAAACTTGTTGGGAAAACTAAACTCTAAGAATATCCTCCACAACTCTCCAATCTACAGCATCATACGTTTTCTGCAAATCCATTTAAGACATACATTTTGGAGCTCCACCCTTAACATTATACCTTTAATTGTCAATCAAATTTTAATATTATTTTATTTTAAAATTAATTAAAATTTTAAATTTCTTTACATCAGTATTCAACTAAAATTTAAGAATACAAAATAAGTTAATTTTTCAATTAACCTGAAAAAATATATTGATTTTCTGCAAAACTGACTTTTTTGGTATATTTAGAGCTAACTGCGTGTCCCAATCACAACCATCCATCAAACATGAAGATCATATCCAGCCGTTGATCCTATTTCACTGTGCAAATAAATACAGACCTGAGGGACCCTCTCTTCCAAACGACAAGTGGGGGCTATCTCCATTGTTAGGGTTTGTTGATTCTTTCAAATTTTTATTTATTTTTTATTAACTAAAATCTCTCTTCAATTCTCAATTAGTCTCTTTAATCTTTCGCAGTGCGTGAAAGCTTCAAACCACAGTCAACGTATCAAAACCTCTGCAAAAAAACACACACAGTAGGCCCCCAAAAAACTGTTATTTTTTTGGTCTTTCAAATCTTTCTGAATTTCATAAATTTTATAAATTTCATAAATTTGAAATCTTTGCAATGTTTCTCTTCTGGGTTTTGATCGTAGTTTAATGGGTCTTTCTTGATTTTTAGGATGGAAGTGAATCGTAGCGGCGGCGATGGTTTCAGTGAAGAAAAAGATACGCCGGAGACGACGGAGCAACAGACGTTGAACAAGTCGGAGTTTCCGTCGGAGTCACCGTCGGAGGCGGCGATGAAAGAAGAGCTTTCTGAAACGCGTTCAATGGATGTTATTCCGATGCCGAATCCGGTTCCGATGACAATGACGGTTCCTTCGGCGAAGAAACCGTCCAAGGACCGTCACACGAAGGTGGAGGGACGCGGTCGGAGAATCCGAATGCCGGCGACATGTGCCGCGAGGATCTTCCAGCTGACAAGGGAACTTGGTCATAAATCCGACGGAGAAACAATACGGTGGTTGCTTGAACAATCTGAGCCAGCTATCATTGAAGCAACCGGAACCGGCACTGTCCCAGCCATCGCTGTTTCCGTCGGCGGGACGTTAAAGATTCCGACAACATCACCGGCGAGACCAGACGGTGAAGACGCACCAAAGAAACGAAGGAGGAGAGCATCAAACAGTGAGTTTGTTGACTTGAACGAACACGCTTCAATCTGTTCAGGACTCGCACCAATAGCTCAAACTGCTTACGGCGGCGGTAGCGGTGGTCTTGTTGGTGGTGAAAATGGTGGTGGTGGTCTAGTTCCGTTATGGCCTATGGCAAGTAATGGTAATAATGGGTCTAATACAACAGGGCCATTTTTTATGTTCCCAAATTCAACTATGAATCAGCCACAGTTTTGGGCTATTCCTGCGGCACCGTTTTTCAATAGACCTATTTCAGATTTTGTTTCTACTATGCAAATGCAAAATCAAAATCAACCTTCAAATGCTAATGGTTCATCTTCATCTACTTTGGCTCCTAGTTTGAACTCAGCTTCTACATCTACTTGTTCTTCTGCGGTCACTTCTTCATCTTCTGCTGGACCTACTCAAATGCTTAGGGATTTTTCTTTGGAAGTTTATGACAAGAAAGAGTTGCAATTTATGGGTTGTTCTGGTGCAAATTTAGAGTCACCTCCCACTTCAAATTGAAGCTCTATGTTTCTAGAATAATGTTATTAGACTTCACAAGTTAGAAGTTTAGACAATTTTTTTTTTTTTTTTAATTTGGAAAAAGCATGGATAGTTTGTGTCTATCCAAGTTTTGTTTTTTTGCTAATGCAAAAGGACACTTTTTAGAATATTTTTTTAAGGAAATCCTTCTTTTTGCTGTTTATTTATTTGTTGTTTTTGAAAGTTTAATATTTAATTATTCTATTTTTTAAGTTGAATGAATACTTATAAATATCTATTTATTATTATTAACTTAAAAGATTCTATTATTATAATTATATACTGTATATATTTATCATTTATTAAGGCTAAAATAGTCTACTAGATGTGAGATTTAATTTAAAAATAAAATGGAAAAAATAGATATTTTGATTTATGAGTATAAGAGGAAATGGGTCCAACCGTGTGGGGTCCAGTTTGCACGTGCGAGGTTGAAACGGTGTGACTGAGGATAGGTAGAAGGGTGCGTGGCATGGAAAGTGAAAGTGGGGTCTAGGGAATGGTCACGTGAGGTGGTTTGAGCAAGTGTTATATAGGGGCCCACAGTGGTTTGTGGGTGGGGAAAGTGATGTGGTCCGTGGAGCATGGTTAGTGGTTGTTGTTGGGACACGAGATTTGGTCATGTGAGTGGTGGATTATGGCACGTGTTCCTATGGTTTTTGTTAAGCTCTCGTGTGTGGAACTGGCTGGCCCTGTTTTACACGTGTCGACTATTTGTATAGCTTTGTGTGTGGGTGGTCCACTCGTGGACCAATAGCGTTCTGACACAGTGTGTCCTTCTCAAGGTGTTTTATTATGAGTGTTTTGTTTGAGGATATTTTCTTTTGCATTTAGGAAGGTAGAAGAAATAAATAAGACGCTGGTTACTTTTGATATTTGAGATATAGTCAATCGATTATTTGAAAAAAATCTGCACCTATAAGTTTAAGAAATAATTTCTTTATATTTAATATTGGTGAAAATAATCTTAGAAAATTTAAAAATATTTTTTGGAGATGTATTTCTGAATATACTGTTTACCGTGAAAATTAGTAAATAATTACTGATCTTTTAGAAAATGTTATTTTGGTTACTTGCAGGATCGATCAGTTTGATCTTAGCACATATGTTAAGTGTTTTTAGGATTTGATAAGAAGTCTTAACGTTGTTAATGAATGAGAAAAATGTTAAATGGCAAGGATTGTAAAGAAATGTAAAGACTTTGATTGCAATAAATTATGGTGATTCAAACGTACATTCTCAATATTCTTTCTCTCACAGCGGGTACTTGAATAAAATTGAGTGACTTGTACAATGAGTTGAACACACGAAATTTTACACAAAATTCCTATATTTATACTAATAATAAGTAATTATCAAACAATTGCTTCATTCCAGGATGAAGACAAGTGTCCTCTGCATGCTCTTCGACCCTTATCTTCACGCCACGTTGCTTTTCCCAACTGCCAAATGAATTGTCTTTCCCTCCTTTCCTCAGATTCAAATCTACTTATTGCTGATACAAGAGCTTTTCGGTCGAAACTGTCTTTAACTTAAAAAATTCTCTAAGTGTTTTTTCCTTCTTAGTAAGGATGACTTTGACAAACTCCTTTCATAGACTCTTTTGCCGAAGTATTTTCAGCTTAGATTTCTTCAATCTATTTTTAGCCAATAAGGCCAATATATATGAGTGTTGAATTTAGGAGCTAATAAATTGCCCCCCAAGAATGTCAATTTCGACACAAGAAGAAATAGTCATTCTTTGATGTCTCTATCCGACACCTGTCCATTTACAACACGCTAATCTGAGAACTTCACATGTTGCTGATGATGATCAGGGAGAAGAAGAAGAAGTTGTTGATGATGAAGTAGAAACAGAAATGAAAGGCATACATAATGAAGAAGATCAAAATGAGGATAATTCAGAGAAACCTGCAGAGAACGAGGACAATCCTGCAAATGCTGAAAGAGAAAACTCTACAGAAGAGAAAGGAAACATCGCAAACATCGAAAGTGCCAATGCCCAAACGCAGGATCTACCATTCGGAGGTTCAACATGCTAATAATGTGGCTCATGCCACCAATGAAAAAGTTCCTTCGACGGGATCCCGCACCAAAGAAGACTTTGCACTACTCAAAAGGAATAACCCTCTTGGCTATCTGAACACCATTCTTGAAAGCATGGAAACTTCCTCCGACCAAAGCCGTGATGCTTCGACTGCATCTGGTAAGTCTACTTCGGCTTCTCCCATTGAGGAAGCACTTCAAAAGGTTAAGGCTCAAATTTTCAAGAGGCATCTGATGTTGACCTTAGAGGGAGAACCCACTGCCCCTTCCTTTCTGAAAAGTACCCTTAAAGTTGTAGATCTCCTTGTTGTTTCTCCTGAAATAGCTAGCACCGTCTTAGACCTGACTTCAATCATAGATCAAGCTTCAGATGACTACACTCGTCGAAGGATTCTCAACCGCGAAATTGAAGAGGCAAATGGCCATGTTTCTGCTGCCTGGGTTGCTGCTGCTGAATCAGCTTCAAGGTTAAATGAGCTATCGAAAGAACAAGAAGCCAGGCAAAAAGAGGTCGAGGAGATCGACCAGAGTACTGCTAGCATGAAAGCTCAAATCAAAGAACTAGAGACCAAGATTGCTACGAATGACAAACACAAAGAAGAGCTTCTTGCCAGCAATGAATCTGAGAGCCAGGAGGAGCTTAACAGTGGACTGAAGTATGCTGAACAAGCCCAAGCCTTGGATGAAAAGATTGAAGCTCTCCATCAGTCGAAGGCTTTGTGTGAAAGGCGCTTGGAACTTCAGAAGACCAAATACCTCCAGATTAAGGTTACTCTTCCATTTTGATTAGACTTCTCTTTTGTACAACCATGCTTATGTAACGAATATTCGAATCCTCAGAATGGGTATATGTAATGATTTGGAGCCATTTTAGCCAACTTAATGAATTCTCCATTTTGGCTATATATTTCGACTGAGATCAATTGTTGGTTATTTTAACTTCTTGAAGTGTAGGTCTATATTTTTTTCAAATATTTACCATTTACTCTCAAGAGTCTTTTATCTTCACTTAATTCTTCGATCTCATAGGAACCACCAGAAAATACTTGGATAATCTTAAAAGGTCCTTCCCATTTAGGAGACCATTTTTCCATGCTCTTATCATTTCGATCCATTGGGAGAATTACCTTCCACACCAAATCTTCAGGCAAGAATGTCTTGGGTTTTACTCTCTTATTATAATATTTTTCCACTCTTTTCTTTTGTATCGTTAAGAGGTCGAAAGCTCTCAGTCTTTCTTCATCCAAATCAACCAGTTTATCTAACATCATATTCCAATAAGATTCAGAAGGAATATCTTGATGTCTCTGAATTCTTGTTGACTGCAGACAAATTTCTATTGGCAAAACTGCGACATGACCATAGGTTAATCGAAATGGTGTCGTATTGGTAGCTTATTTAGGAGAAGTTCGACATGCCCATAAGATTTGGTCCAACGTATTATGCCAATTTTTTGGCTTTTTTCCTACATGCTTTTTTATTAAGCCAATAACTTCCTTATTTGCCGCTTCGACTTGGCCATTGGCTTGCTGTTGGCTCCTAAATTCGACACCCTTGTTTTATTAATATCAGCCATTAAAGCTGAAGGATGTTTTCGACCAGCTGGGTCTGTCGAAATGCCCATCGAAAGATGGCAATGTACTTAGAGGATTTCTTCCAAGGGAGAAGTTGGTTGCCTTCGACGTCGAAGGTGTTTCTCGTCGAAGATGCTTCTCGACGAAGGTGTTCGATGGTTCAGAGTGGAACGGTTTGAAATTCAAGCGTTTGGAGGGAAAACGGTTTCCAGCGGTTACCAAGTGCAACGTGCAAAGATCTGGAGCGTCGAACGCTGAGAACGTGCCAAGTGGAGTCATCTCGAAGCAGTGTAACTGCCCGACGGTTACTTGGGATGTTTTAGTATAAATAGTAGTAGGTCATGCAGTTTTTCGCGTGTGTTCACAATTATATACAAAGTCACTCATATAGATTCGAGTACCCAGCGTGTGAGAAAGAATTGTTGAGAATGTATGTGTGAAACACCACTTTTATTAATCAAAGTCATTTACTTTTCCAGAAACTTTACTTGCTTTCTTCTTTACTTTTCCTGTCGAAGCCCTTTATTTCAAGCCTTCATTTATTTTATCAAGCCCATTTCTTCATGCAATTTACTTAAAGCCTCTTTATTTTCTTGTCATTTAACCATTATCCAACTTAATCAAAACCTCAAAATCAACCTATGTCTTAGGATCAATCTGATCGATCCTACGAGTAACCAAATAAGTAACCATTTGGAGGATCAGCGGTTGTTTACCAATAACCACGGTAAACAAATTGGCACACCTGGTGGGACTGTATGTTGATTGTTGAAGTTTAACCCTTTTTTAACGTAATCTCATCTTTTTCGAGGAGTGTTGCATGTTATTGAGAAGTGGTAGAATATACACTAACGATACCAATACTGCCAGAAGAAGGGAAGAGATGGCGAATCCGCCAAACAATAACGAAATCCCACAAACGAATGTGGGAGCAACGGTTATCCCGACCGTAAGTGAAGCGATAACCGCTGGTTCAACACCAGCAGTAACGGTCACAACAACGGGGCCATTACCTCCGTTCACAGGCCCCAGAGTGCCTTTGGGAACTCCCCCACCAAGGGGAAATTTAGGCACAAGGCCTTATGTTCCCCCAGGATTTATGACAGGCGGTCATAATCGAGAACCACTATATGGCATGCCAACTTCTGACTTGGCTAGCCTGACGAACGCTACGTCCACTTTTTTAGACCCTTTAGTGAGTGCTTCGTCGCCACTCCAAGGTTCTGGAGTAGGTATGGCGAATAGAAATAGGACCCAACTCTTAGGAGGAACGTCCCAAGTAGCACATGGCCTTACAAATGCCTCGACAGCAGTCTTGAGGCAACAAATGGACGAAAGCAACCATGATATGGTTCAAAT